GACGTCCGCTCCGCTATGCCTTCTGTTCGAAAACTCGATTGATTGAATGTACTTATATTAGTTATTACAGGAACTTTATGCTCAATAGGAAAAAGTAGTACAGGACGTTTCGATTCCTTTTTCAACGAGGATAGCGCTGTATAAACCGTGACTACGAGTTCTATTATTCCCTGTATATAGGCTGACTCTTGCATATCACGTTAAGGTGAAGTAAAACACGTCGAGGAACTTGATCAACGTTGATAAAGAAGATTTTTCTAAATGCCTACATTGCCGACGTTCGTTTTTATATTGACAGCTGGGTCGAATTATATTGTGTATTGTACCAAATGGCATACTCCACCTGTCGTTTTCGTACAATAATTATAAAGAAATCGAAGTCAAACTCCAGAAATCCTTTGGATTCATGCCTTCTGGGGCCCTAATTGACTGCGGAGGGACCCCCTGCGCCATCTGTGATTTCCAGGTCAATTAAATTTGCACTCCGAGACGTAGTATTCCCATCGTTTTAGCATAGAAGCGCATACAATACTTTTTTTGCATTTATCCCGTTCAAATGCGAGTTTATCGATTACCAGAGTGTTCTAAATTGTCGTAAAATTGTCCTGACCCTTTCGTTTCTCATATCAAAACCTTCGATAATTGTATATTGATCGAAATATGAGAGCTCGACGCCATTTTGGTTCTGGTCTAGACTGAGTTAAACAATTTTTAAGAAAAATCCAAATTTTTAATGTGTAGGGACAATTCTTAGATGATCAGGAGTGACGTGTCATAGTTTCGGACAATTTGGTCTAATACCCTTAAAAAAAAGTGTTGTATTCGAATCGACTGATATGAAGGATGTTTCACTTAATCTTAAGGGAATGTGAAAGTGGCATCAAAGGGGTCTCGTTTATGAAACTTTCCTCCGAACTGAGTGTGCCGAATCATTCCAAACTTGACAATGTGACTATGGAGGCTATAAGGAAGGTTCTGACACCCATAAAATTTGAATTTTAGCAAAATTTATGTTTGATATTTTCCAAATTTTGTATAAAAAAATATAATTTCATGAGTGTCGGGACCTTCCTTATAGTCTCCATGTTCAGTTTGTAAAATTTGAAACGTTTGGCACACCCAGTTCACAGAGAAGTTTCATGAACGAGGCCCCTTTGATGCCATCTTCATATCCCCTTAACGCCATCTGGACCCCTCCACTCAATGTTAAGCGGGTATAACCATTCCATAAAACTTTTGGCACCTTAAAACCTTGGTCTAAAACTTCTTTCTCAAAAATGATCGAATTCAAATATTAGACCGTTTCCGGACTATCTTGACACCCTGTACATACGGGTCAAATTGAAATCTTTCTCCGTTTTTGAAGTCTGTTAAGGTGAAGTGAAACACGTCGAGGAACTTGATCGACGTCGATAAAGAAGATTTTTCTAAATGCCTACGTTGCTGACGTTCGTTTTTATATTGACAGCTGTGCCGAATTATATTGGATATTGTACCAAATGGTATACTCCACCTGTCGTTTTCGTACAATAATTATAATGAAATCGAAGTAAAACTCCAGAAATCATCTGAATTCATGCTTTCTAGGGGTCCTAATTGACTGTAGAGAGGCCCCCTACGCCATCTGTGATTACCAGGTCAATTAAATTTTCACTCCGAGACCTCGTATTACCATCGTTTCAGCACAGAAGCGCATACAACACTTTCTTTGCCTTTATCCCGTTCAAATGCGAGTTTATCAATTACCAGAGTGCTCTAAATTGTCGTAAAATTGTCCTGACTCTTTCGTTTCTCATATCAGAGTCTTCGATAATTGTATATTGATCGAAATGTGAGAGCTCGACGCCATTTTGGTTCTGGTCTGGGCTAAGTTAAAAAATGTTGTCCAAAAATCTTAATTTTAAATGTGTCAGGACAATTCTTAGATGATCAGGAGTGATGTGTCAAAGTTTCGGACCGTTTGGTCTAATACCCTTAAAAAAAAAGTGTTGTATTCGAATCGACTGATTTGAAGGGGGTTTCACTTCACCTTAACACGTTCGTGCCGTGTGGGACGTATACGCCCCACGGTCCATTTACGACAGCGTACTCGTCATTTGTTTCGGCACTAAACGTGTTAAAAGTGTTGCGTGCCTTTTTTAGTTTTATATTTTATAGAATTACTTCATCGTTTTTACTGTGTAGAACAAAATGGCCAGAGGAATTGAGGCATGCAGGAAGGAAATGAAAAATAATTTGCGACGACAATCATCGTATTCAATGACGTTCTTTTTCGTGGCAAGCTTTGCTGCTGGACCCATGATTGTTGATTAGATGGTCTCCTGTAGTTGATCGGCATTTTTTGCGATCGCTTGCAGAAGAAAAGCATACATTAATTAGCGAAATTGTCTTTACTATATAAATGTATATTATTATGTAATATTTATTATTATTCCAAATTTATAAACTGAAGTTTAGTAATAAATATGTAAAGTGGATAAAGTAGTCACGAGACTAGAAGGTTGCCATCATGGAAGCCTTTAAATATAACATATAAGTTTGACTTCAACCTGTTAGTACAGAAAAGAGCATTAGCGCTTTCTTGTACTAACGTTGTACTAACAGGTTAAAGTCAAACGTTCTACGGCACATACATTTAATGTTTAAAACATACCTTTAAGGTGATGTGAAAAGGTTATTCTACATATGTAAAACGTAAAAATATTTATAAAACTTTTCTCCAAATTGGGTGCACCGAATCGTTGGAAACTTCAGCATATGATTATGAAGGCCCTAAGGAAGAACGTGGTGCTCATGAAATTTTATTTTTAAAAACAATTTTTTTTATTTACCCCAGATGAGAATCAAGAATACATTTTTTTTAATAAAATTTCATGAGCACCACATTTTTTCTTAGGGCTTTCATAATCACGTGCTGAAGTTTCAAATGATTCGGTGCATCCGGTATGGAGAAAAGTTTTATAAATATTTTTATATTATACAGGGTGCCCCATAATAGATAATAAAACTCTCAAGAGGTGAAAGAGGGTGAATTTTTAACTAGAAGTTCCTTTTCCATTTTTTGCTCGGGACATATTTCATCGAATTATTAGTAGTAAAAGTTGACCAACGAGGCGACGCGCGGCCGAAGTCCGCAGGGGCGTGGCTCGCCGCAGGGCCCCTCGCTCATGCCTGACGTTCCTCCAGAAAAATGTCATTTTAATATGTCAAATTATTTAATAAATAAATAAGAATAAAAACAGTTATAAATCGATCAAATAATTAGTTTAAAAATCATTCTTTACATAATTAATCAACAAATTACTGAATGATCGACTAATTGTCTAATTAATTAATTAAGTCATTCAAAGCAGGGTGACGGATAAAAGGTTTCAAAACAAATTTGTTGTTTAAAAACAATTTATTTTTGCGAAAATTTTCGTGTTGGAAAAATTAATTGCTATTTAACAATAAATTTGCTTTGAAACTTTTCACCTGCCTCTCCACTTTCTCAAAAAATGAAATGTTTTCACGTTGAATTAAGCAAGGAATTGATTAATTAACCAACCAGTGAATAAATGGATGACAATTAATTATTTGATCGATTTAGAACTGTTTTTATTCTTATTTATTTATTTATTCATTCGTTTATTTAATAATTTGACATATTAAAATGACATTTTTCTGCAGGAACGTCAGGCATGAGCGAGGGGCTCTGTCGCCCGCTACGCCCCTGCGGACTTCGGTCGCGCGTCACCTCGTTAGTCAAGTTTAACTACTAATAACTCGATAAAAAATGTTCTGAGCAAAAAATAGAAAAGCAAATACTAGTTCAAAATTTCACCCTCTTTCATCCCTTCAGAGGTTTACTATCTATTACGGGGCACCCTGTATATACATAGAATGACCCTTTCATATGTGCCCATAATTATGAAAGTGGTCTAAGTCATATATTTTTTGTTTCGAAAGTACTTTGAATTAATTTATTATAGTTTAAAATAATGTGGCGTGAAATAACTGATAAACTCATTTTTTTTTTTCAATTTTGACTTAGACCACTTTCATAATTATGGGCACATATCACCTTAAGCAAGTTATTCAGTAACAAATACCATTCACCCTGTAACTTAAATTTATGTATCATTTTAAGGCACTTGCCTTAGATTTACTGCTATGCAAATCAAGAAAATCTGCAAAGAACATGTATCACATATGACTGCGAGCTTAAACGTCGAAAAATAATTGAAAACTACATTTTGGATTAGTTTTTCGAGTTACTACAAGATTGCAACAGCAATTAATTATTTTGGCAACCGGTGGTCACTTTGACCTCCTTTCCCCTACTCTTGGTAATCCTAGCATATTTTCTCAAAATTTTACGGACGTTTGTTCGAGTTACAAATCTTTGAAATTCATAGGCATTTTTATGAATATGGAACATGCTACCAAGCACAGAATTTGGGAATTTTTCATTCTAAAAGGATGTAAAAAACAGCACCATCGCGCTTGTTCGATTTACAAATCTATAAAGGGCATTAGCATTTTGATGAATATTTCTAACGTATACAGAATTACAAGATTCTGACTTCTGAAGGGATGTACAGAATAACGCATCGGAGTATCAGAAATCCTACTGAATCAACCTTTAAGGTGATATGAAAGAGTCATTCTACATATATAAAATGTTAAAATATTTATAAAACTTTTCTCCAAATTGGATGCACCGAATCTTTGGAAACTTCAGCGTGTGATTATGGAGGCCCTAAGGAAGAACGTGGTGCTCATGAAATTTCATTTGTAATAAAAAAAAATAGTCTATCTCAGACTAGAACCACTCGTACATTGTTTTTTTTTTAATTCCATGGGCACCACTTTCTTCCTTAGGACCTCCATAATCATGTGCTGAAGTTTCAAGTGATCCGGTGCAGCCAGTTTGGAGAAAAGTTTTATAAATGTAGAGTGTCACTTTCATATCACCATGAGTAGATCGTAATTTTTGGGTTTGTTCTTTCTTCAGAAGAACCAGTATACGACATTTAAGAAGAATTTCCAGATGAGTAATTTCTCGGTAATAATGTCGAAGGAAATTCTAAGTCAGAAGGATGAGCTGATGAACGTAAAGCGAATAAGAAACGTCAACGACAACACGGCATTAAGAAGATGGCGTCTTCTGGCAAAAGCTCTCACCTGTTCCCCACGGCTGATGAGCCAGACCAAGGATGATATATCCATACGTCGATTTACTACTTTCGGTTTGGTCTCCCCATTAGTCCTAGTGAACGTGGTCACCGATCCGGGGTCCACGTGGTGCGAGTATTCCACGGTGATCAACGACAAATTTTACGACGTACAGATCAGGCGAATTAATAAGAACTTTACGGCTAATGAACTGATCGGATTCAATAACACCGGAAATGTCTGCGTCTGGCCATCCGAAGAGTGCCTGGCCTATTATCTTCTGAAGAACGAGTGGATCTGTAGAAACAAGATGGTGTTGGAACTTGGTGGTGGAATGAGCTGTTTGGCTGGCATTTTTGCTGCTAAATATTGTAATCCCAGCGGTGTTGCCTTGACCGATGGCAATGTCACCAGTGTAGATAATACCAGGTGCATTGTCGCTAGAAACAACATGGCGGACTTCGTCAAGTGTGGCGTAGTGCAGTGGGCTAGAGCGGCCAGAGCACTCAGACAAACTGAGTATAGTGACAAGAGTGCACAGGTGATTCCTTGTTTCCGTTATAAAGCCTGCACACTTCCATTCGACTAAAATTTAATGAAAAAAATGGAGCTATTTACTTTGCTATAAGAAGACTAATATATTATTAAATTTTTTAAGGTGAAGTGAAGCCCGTCTCAATCGAATCGATTCGAATAAAACGCGTTTTTTGAAGGGTATTCCACTGAATTAGCTGGAATTGTAGTACACAACTTGTGAGCACCTGAGGAATATACTGACGCTTTCAAAATTTGTGTTACCAGAGAAACTTGTTTACTCAGTCCAGACCAGAACAAAAATGGCGTCATGCTTTCATATTTCCATCAATATACAATCGTATTACGGCCGTAATGTTACAAACGGAGGTCTCAGGACCGTCGGTTACTAATGTAGAACGATTTAAAGTAGGGTGAAAGGCTCTGAGAAATTTAATCGACGCCGATGAAGTAAAATCCATTTATACCCTTTTTGATGGTAATGCCATTTTGGACACTCAAGTGATAACATAAGCCGGCGCGCCACTTTACCGACATTTATATTTATGTTGAAGTCTGTTAATCTACGTTGAGAATTATACGAAATGAAGCGATATCTCATTTCGGTAAAGCAATGCTAAAGAAATCGATGTAAAATTGTCGAAATGCAGTAGATTTGTGATTTTTTATACTCTAATTTCCTGTAATAACTAATTGAAATACAGTCAATCAATGGCGTTCCCCTATGGGACGCATTGCGGAGAAAACGCCGGTAGGGCTGCGTTTGACTATCTGCAGCGTAACAGCCGTAAGATGTCCTCTCCAATATGCCTTCTATTCGAGAACGCGATTAATCGGCTGTGCCTCATTTAGTTGTTACGCAAAAGTTATGCTCTATAGGACGAAGCAGTACAGGACTTTTCGATTCCTTTTTCAATAAGGTTAGCGCTGTATAAACCGTAACTACGAGTTCTGTTATACCCTCTATAGGCTAGCCCTTAACCCTTTCGTTACCTTGAACGAGATATCTCGCGACCCAATGCTGGCCGATTAACGTTTTTGACGAGATATCTCGCGACCCGATACTGGCCGATCAACGCTTTTGACGAGATATCTCNACCGGATCGCGAGATATCTCGTCAAAAGCGTTAATCGGCCAGTATTTGGTCGCGAGATATGTCGTCCAAGGTAACGAAAGGGTTAATAATCGAGAACGTACATTCGAATGTGATAAAGGCAAAAGAATTGTCGTACAAGCGTCTGTGCTAAGATGAAGGTAAAACGTGTACTGCGCGAGATCTTGGAGAGAAAATTTAGTTCTCAGTGAATTCAACAGATGACGTTCAACAGGTTGGCGTCCTACCATCGATTAGAGTATCGGAAATTATAAATTCAGGAGATTTCCTGGTTATTTATCGATCAATTTATAATCATTGTACTGAAATGACATAGCGTATGCCGTTGCAAAAAATACTTAATGTAATACTGCACAGCTGTGGATGTAGATATGAACGTCGGTATCGTAGAACGCTGTTCCAGATAGTATGTTCGTAGAAGAAATTGGTGTTACCGACAACAATTAAGGTGAAGTGAAACACGTCGAAGAACTTGATCGATGTCGATAAAGAAGATTTTTCTAAATATCTACGTTCCCGATGTTCGTTTTTATTGACAGCTATGTCGAATTATATTGGGTCTTGCACTAAATGACATACTCCACCTGTCGTTTTCGTACAATAACTATAAAAAAAATCGAAGGAAAACTCCAGAAACCCTCTGGATTCATGCTTTCTGAGGCCATAATTGACTGCAGAGGGACCCCCTGCGCCATCTGTGATTTCCAGGTCAATTAAATTTGCACTCCGAGACCTAGTATTCCCATCGTTTTAGCATAGAAGCGCATACAATACTTTTTTTGCATTTATCCCGTTCAAATGCGAGTTTATCGATTACCAGAGTGTTCTAAATTGTCGTAAAATTGTCCTGACCCTTTCGTTTCTTATATCAGAGCCTTCGGTAATTGTATATTGATCGAAATATGAGAGCTCGACGCCATTTTGGTTCTGGTCTGGGCTGAATTAAACATTTTTTTCCAAAAATCCAAATTATGAATGTATCAGGAGAATTCCTAGATGATCACGAGTCATGTGTCAAAGTTTCGGACAGTTTGGTGCAATATCCTGAAAAAAAAAGTGTTGTATTCGAATCGACTGATTTGAAGGGGGTTTCACTTCACCTTAAGTTTCTTGATGAGTTTCATTTCATCTTACGAGGTTACGCCATAATGAGTGTCTGAAAATTATTACGACGTTTTGCAATTTTTGACGAAAATAAGCAAAATTAAATTCAATTCTTCTCGATGGATTTTTGCTATACCAGGATAAAAGGACATGTTAATATCTTTTTTTAAACACAAGGTGACGGCTGTAGAGGAGTTTTTTCGTTAATACTACTTCGGGCAACCCTCGTTGTGGTGACGTCGCACAGTGGCGAAAATGGCAAAAAAGTTGATTAAAAGTATTTGTTTGCCAGAATGTGAAATTGTTGCATTCTAATATTATATTTCATCACTTTTACCTTCCGTTTTTAATTCTTCAGAAGAAAAAATTACAAAAAATGTTTAAAATAAAACAAAGAAGAATGCACTAACGAAATGTATGCATATTTACAGTAAAATTCTTTTAATTTTTTTAATTACTTATTTTACAGCTATTTTGCACATTTTTTAGTTCTAAAACTACATTGCTAAATGTAAAACTGTGCGCGCATGAAACATAAGAAGTACAAAAAAGAACATACATATAGTAAAAGAAGATCTTTAATTAGGAATAATTTCTTGCTCTTTCAGAAGTCCAATCATGGAACCAACAATGTGCATTATGAAGATATCTTACTTCTCTCTACTCGTACAAGTAGAACGCCAGATATCAGCAGCCAATTCTTTTTAATTTCAACGAACAATAGTACAAGCTAACGATTCTCATTTGAAACACCGCGGAATATTACGAGATTCATAACTATTTCAGTAATTGAAAATAAAGTGTAAGAATATCTCATTGGAGAAAAAGAATAATTTCATGCAATATTTAAAATTTTTGAACCTATGTAAAATAAACTGTCAAAGTCTTAAAATATCCTACAATTTACAGAATTGGGAAGATATATTTCCTTAAAAAAATCACCCTTAAACTCGGTAAAATCTTCCTTCTTAGTGACCGATTCCAGTAATTCGTAGGAATGTCATTTTTAGATCGACTTACAGAACCGTACGTAATAATTACGCTTCCGTCCTTTTGGCGATAAATGTCCGAATCAGCCCTCTGCCCAATCTGGCAATCAATAATCCTAAAATCCGAATTTCTTTTTTCATATTTTAGCCAGCTTTTTCGTCATTTTCGCCACTGTGCGCCGATTACGGGCCACTCTTTAAGGTGGAACGGAAAAACAAAAATATCATGTTTCTATACAGGGTGTAATAGAACTCTTCACGGTTTATACAGTGCTATCCTTGTTTAAAAAGGAGTCGAAAAGTCCTGTACTATTTTTTCCTACAGTGCATAAATTCCCTGTAATAACTAATAGAAGTACAGCCAATCAATCACGTTCCCCTACGGAACGCATAGCGGAGAGAACGCTGATAGAGCTGCGTTCGGCTGTCTGCGGCGTAGTAGCCTGTAATAGTACGGATTAGGCCGTGCAATATGCACCGTCTTTTCCACACTGTCGTGAGTCCGAGCCGCTTCAGAATTTTCCGGGAAAATTAAATCACCGATTTCCGAGGTGCGAAGACCCGAGTAAGAGAGAAGCAGGCGTGCGAATTAGAGAAGGATCGCGACGTCTCGTGCCGCGCAGACAATGTTTCGGTTTCTTATGCGTCTAGGCTTCGCTCGCTCAGCTGATCGAGGCCGAAGTTCCGAATCGAGTTCGTGTTTCGATATCTCGAACGCTCCAAGATTCTTAATCACCTTTGATTACGGATTATCTAATCGTTTTCACTGTTGAGATGGATTTAAGTTGGATAGGAATTGAGCTCTCAGATTGACGATTTATCTCACAAGAGTACGCCAACTGCTCATCATCGAATCCGGATAAAAAGGATTCAAGGTGTGGGTGCAAATGAGTTGGTTTCCTTCGTATTTCGGAATCCCGTTAATCCCGTAATTTCTTATTTTGTTCAATTCTCAAATTGAGTTGAATTAATTTATTAGATTCCTGGAGCACTGCTCTACAGGTTTAGTCTCAACTTAACTTGGGTTATCTTGCTTCGGATATTCACTGGCTTACGGTTTTTTAGGTTTGGTAGGATGTTTTGTCGTAGGTTTTTATTCACTTCTTCGTACCGCGATTCTTTTATTCAACTGGGAAAGCTGGGCAGATCGGAGGCAATCACAATGATAGAGTCCGAGCTGTCTTTCACAATTGAAAATAGTGTTAGTTCCTGCTTCAGAGTTGTCGCATTGACAAGGCCGAAGGTACGGATCTACACTTCCTTTCTACTCTTTTCATCTCAATCTGCTTCGATTGATTTCTGTCATGTATGGCTCTTTTCTTCTTATTTTCACGTTCTAATTTTCGTATTTTTGGGAGATGCTGCAATAGCACAGTCCCAGGATTGTGTTTAAAAGGACTAAGAATTAGGGATGCGATGGCTACAACAATGGCAGAGATCGCTGGTTTTGGGATTTATTTTAGAATTTTTCCTCTCTGTGAATTTTATTTCATAAAAGATCGTCGGATTCCGACTTACTCCGGTTTTTCCTCTATCTGCTCGCGCTTCTAACTCTTGTCCAATTTAGGGACTTGAATTTCTCCTAGTGCTATTCGAATTCTGGTATGTCTATTCCTATTGAAAATCAAATCTAATCTGTCTTTGTTAGTGTTTTTGTTACGTTCCGCTCCACGACCCGGCTCAAAGGACCAGAAAATGATGTTGCGGATGTTCGAAAGAAAGTCTGAACGCGGGTTGCACTGGATGTGAGAGCCAAATTTTGAGGACTGATTAATTCTCGACGAAATCTCGAGTCAGGT